CAACCAACCAACCAACCAACCAACCAACCAACCAACCAACCAACCAAATAACTAGTCAGTATAGGACCCAAGTCGGCTGCCCAGAAGAGACTTTTTTGGAAAATTGGAAGAAACCCTGAAGGGCCGAGTCCTTCCCCCTGACATTTGGCTTGTGGGGAAGAGAGAAGAGAAAGGGAAGAGCCCAAGGAAGACAGTGGTGAACACGCAAGTTCTTACAAGCACGCAGAAGTGTGGCTTTTCCCAGAAGGCAGCTGGCCTCTCTACAGTCTTGTGTAGAGGGAGGCCATATTCAGACCAGGTTCCAAGGCCATAGAGAGGATGCGAGAAGGGGAGCTGGGAGGTTCCTGGCTGATGTGGGAGTCCCCTCTGTGTGTTGCTTGTATTGGTTAATGAATAAAAAAACTGCCTTGGCCTCTTAGGGCAGAACTTAGGTAGGCCGAGAAGACAGAACTGAATTCTGGGAGGAAAAAAGCAGAGTCAGAGAGACACCATGGATCTGCCATCAGAGTAAGACATGTTACCAAAACTTAGCCGGTAAGTCACTGGCACGTGGTGATATTAATAGAAATGGGTTAAACTAAGATGTAAGAGTTAGCCAATAAGAAGTTAGAGCTAATGGGCCAAGCAGTGTTTTAATTAATACAGTTTTCTGTGTGGTTATTTCGGGGCTAAGCTAGACAAACAAGCAGGCTCCCTGCAACACCTGGCTTCTGCACTCTAGGGAGCCTCATGGCACTCCTTGTCCTGGGAACCCTTGCTGGGTGCACTGTCTTCCTTTTCTGTGATAGTCACATTAATATCTCCATTGCCCAGCCAACACTGACCCTTCCTCTACAAACTAAACCCTACTTGAATTGGGCTTTCAAAGTCACCGCTGAGAAAGTTACTTTTGAAAGCAGTCCCCTCAGTTCCCGCGGGTGAGAAAGTTGAATGGGGATGAAACACAGCCTTTTGGGTACAGCAGAACTGTGAAGAGGTTTTGCCTTTCTTTTTTTTTTTTAACTTTTGTTTTTTTCAAGACAGGGTTTCCCTGTGTAGCCCTGGCTGTCCTGGAACTTACTCTGTAGACCAGGCTGGCCTCTATCTCAGAGATCTGCCTGCCTCTGCCTCCAAAGTGCTGGGATTAAAGGCGTGTGCCATCATGCCCAGTTTGTCTGTCTTGTCTGCCTTTCTTCCTCCCTCCCTCCCTCCCTCCCTCCCTCCCTCCCTCCCTC